AAAAACCTGCAGCTAACATTATACTTAATACGCAAGAGGATGCTTTTCCCCTGAGATCAGGAACAAGGCAAGGATGTCCACTCTCATCACTTCTATTCAACATAGTGCTGGAAGTCCTAGGCAGTGCAATAAGGCAAGGCAAGGAAGTTTAACAGTCATATAGATCGGGAAGGAAGAGATCAAACTGTTTCTACTTACAGATGACGTGATTGTATTTGTAGAAAATCCCAAAGATTCTATAACAAAACAAAACAAAATGAAAACACTTCTAGGCCAATAAAGCGAGTTCAGCAAGGTTGTGGGATATAAGATGAACATGCAAAAAATCATTTGTATTTCTATATACTAACAATGCACAAACACGTGGACATCAAAAGTAGAATCACAAAACTATTTACACTTGCTCAAAAAATTAACTGCCTAGGTGTAAGTCTAACAAAACATGTATAGGACTTGTATGCTGAAAACAACAGAACACTGATGAAGGAAATCAATGAAGCTCTAAATAAATGGAGAAACATACCACGTTCATGGATTGCAACACTCAACATAATAAAGATGTAAATTTTCCTCAAATTGGTATATAGGTTTAATGTAATTCCTATCAAAATCATGGCAAGATTTTTTGTAAGTAGAATTACTCTAAAATTTATATGGAAAATCAAAGGAATTAGAGTAACAGAAACAATTTTGAAAAAGAAGAATAAAATGGGAGGAGATGGGGGCACCTGGGTGGCTCAGTCGGTTAAGCATCTGCCTTCAGCTCAGGTCATGATCCCGGGGTCCTGGGATGGAGCCCCGCATTGGGCTCCTTGCTCAGTGAGGAGTCTGCTTCTCCCTCTCCCTCTGCCCTCCACTCTCCCTGCTTGGGCTCTCTCTCCCTCTCTGCCAAATAAATAAATAAAATATTTTTTTAAAAAATGGGAGTACATGGTCTACCGGGTTTCAAGATTTGTTATATAGTTATGGTAATCAAGACTTTGTGGTACTGGTGGATGGATAGACACACAGATCAATGGAACAGAATAGAGAACCCAAAAACAGATCCACACAAATATGCCTGACTGATTTTTAGAATGGATTTTTATTTGCAGTAAGATACACATATCATAAAATGTACAATTTTTATTATTTGAAAATTCAAAATGCAGTAGTAATTAGTACATCGTAATGTTGTGGAACTATCACTGTCAATTTCCAGAACTTCATCATCATCCTAAATGGGCACTCCATACCCATTAGCAGTCACCCCCTCCTTCCCCCAGCTCCTGCAAACCACTAATCTATCTACTGTCTCTGTGCATTTGCCTATTCTGGGTATTTCATATAAATGGAATTGTATAATGAGTGGTCTTTTAGGTCTGGCTTATTTCAGTTAGCATCATGTTTTTGAGGTTTATCCACATTGTAGCAGGTGTCTGTAATTCATCTTTTTTCATGGCTAAATAATTCTATTGTATAAATAGGCCACATTTGATTTACCCATTCTTCTGCAGATGAACATTTGAGTTGTTTCCACCCTTTAGCTGTTGTGAATAGTGCTGCTATGAACATTTGTGTACAAGTTTTTGTTTGAACATTCCTTTCAGTTCTTTTGGGGGTATACCTGGGAGTGGAATGGCTGGGTAATATGGTAATTCTTATTGAAGAATTCAGCATATTGGGGCACCTGGCTGACTCAGTCAGTGGAGCATGTGACTCTTGATCTTGGGTTTGCGGGTTCGAGCCCCACGTTGGGTGTGGAGATTACTTAAAAATAAAATCTTTAAAATAAAAGAATTTAACTTACCAAGGGACTTACTGAGGAACCACCAAACATTTTCCTCGGTGGGTGCACCATTTTGTATTCCACCAACAATGTAGGAGTATTCTAACTTCTCCATATCTTCACCAACACATTACTTTCTATTTTTTGATAATAGCCATCCTGGTGGGTGCGAGGTGGTATCTCATTTGGCTTTCATTTGCATTTCTCTAATAATTAGTGATGTTGAGCATCTTTCATGGGCAAACTGAGGCTCAGAAAGGGTCACTCAGCTAGCTGGTGGCTGATACAGCTCTAAAGTCCTGGCAAAGCATTACCAGGAGACCGAGCCTCCCCTGATGCCCTACCAGCTGGGAAGTCCCCAGCGGGCAAGGCCCAGGCCCCTCCTGCCCTATTCCCTGAGCTGAGGCCTACGTCCCCTGAAGCGCTCCGTACCTCCTAACCGCTGGGAGCCCAGCCCCTTCCAGGGGCCACACATTCTGAAGCCTCCATCCGCAGCAAGGCAGAAAATCACCGAGTCCAGGCTTCTTTGAGGGAGCCAAGGCCAAGCACCCAAGGAGCAGGCCCCCTCCGGTCCCTGACCTACCCTGCCCCGATCTCTGGGCATGTCACATGGGAAGCATTTCCCCCTCTTTGTACCTGACATGGCCTGGGCACTTGAGCAGTGTCCTGTGTGCTGAGAGTGTGGACCCGGACACTATCCATCCAAGGCCATTTACTCACAGTGTAACTTTGGTCAGGTTCCTTAGCTTCCCTGTGCCTCAGTCTCCTTATCTGTAGAATGGGATGATAATAACACTGACCTAGCGGGGCAGTTGTGAGATGGAGTGTAATTGCAAAGTACTCAGAACAGGGCCTGGAGTGCGGTGGGCTAGACGTGTCTGATGCGTAAAACAACCACGCTGGAGGGAGAGCTCCCTTGCAGGTGAGGGCAGAGGTTTGGAGACAGCCGACCAAGCGTCAGGCATATTGCTGTGCCCGGTGCCTCGCGGAGGAACTGAGTGAGTTCAGCTCTACAACGGCAGTGGGCGGCTGAGGGCAGAGCTGGGCCCCTTGCCCTGGCTCCTCTCTGGGTGTCACAGGCTACCCCCGCCATCCCTGGTGGCTCCAGGCCACCTGCAGGAAGGGGCTGCCAGGGAAACCCCCCACATGGTGGAAAGTCCAGAATTCTCCAAGGAGGCTCATTGCCGATCTCTAAGTGAGAAGCTGGGTGGTGCCTGCAGGCCAGGCCAGGCTGCTGACCCAGGTGCACCCAAGAGGCTTTCATAGCTCGAGAAAAGTGAGGTGAAGACTTGATCTTGGCTATTTTTAATCCCCTGGGCCATTGTCTTGTGGTTAAAGTGTCCCTTGATGAGCCGGCCACTGGGGGAAAACGGCCAAGTGTGGAGTGGTGTTGGAGGGCAGCTTGGCCCAAAGGAGAGGAACACTGAGCTGCCGGAGAGGTGGCTGCTGGTCACCCTAATGCCACACAAGCGCGGGTCCCCAGCACCCCTGGGGCCGCTATGTGGGAGCCCTGCAGCTTGCTGGCCCAGCAGGTGCCGTTACATGTGGCACGAAGTGGCTCCGCTCCCTGAGACCCGACCCACATGAGCGAGGGGACGCAGGGTGCTCTAGGGGACCCTAGGTTCAGGGGTGACTTTGACTTCTGCTTTCTTTCAGATCCCGCAGTGGGTACATAGACACAGAGGGGACGGGGTTTGGTGGGGGGCCGTGGGGGTGTTCCCTCTGGGCGTCTGTGGATGGCACAGGGCAGGACAGCCTGGCCCTGCCCCAAGTCCCACTCCTTCACGGCCACCCCACAGCATTGCCGCCGGTGGGCTCGGAGCCCCAGAGGCGGGCAGGTCAGAGGCCCCAGAACATTCCACAGCCGCACCCATCTGTTCTGACCCTCACTGCTCTCCAGGTCCTCACACAGGTCCTGGCTCTCTGGGTGACAACCCCCACCGCCCGAGCTCAGGCTTGTTCCTGAGCACCCCAGAACCCCTGCCCGGCAGCAATCTCAGCTTGTGTGGGACTGAACTCCCAGGAACCCAGGCCCGGAAGGGGTGAGACACGCACACCGTGGTAGGAGGAGGGGGCCCTCAGCAGCCCCCACCCCACAACCCCCACCTCAGTAGAGAACATAGCGACCTAAACTCATGAGAAATCTTGGCGACACCCCCACGGAATCTGTCTGGGCCCCTCTCCCCCTGCCCAGGCGACCCCTCCCAGCCCAGCACTGCCCAGACCCCAGGCTTCCTGGCGCCCGCACTCACCTCCAGCCCCATCCAAACCTGACCAGGTTCTTCTTCCAAAGCCCTCCCGCGGCTCTGAGGCCTGGCTGCCCGGACGGGCCTTTCCTCTGTGGCCCTTGTCCACACTGGGCCACTATGGGTCTCGCAGTCTGCCAGGCCCCTGTCCCCTGCGCTCGCCCACCACGGCCTGGGATGCGGGTCCCTCTTCTGCTGCTACCCCCCTGGGACCGCTTCCCCACTTTCCTACACCAGCCTCCAGCCTCTGTCACTAGCCCTAGGAAGGCTCCTGGGGCGTCCCTCCCCTGGGCTCTGTGAGCAGGACAAGGACAGGAGCTCCGGGGACCCATACTCAGGGGCATCAGTCCACAGGGTCCGCTGCCTTCTCCAAGTTTTTTTGAACACAGCTGCAGGAAGGGGAGGGTAGGTTGCCACTGGGTCCCCCAGGGCAATGTGCTCCTGTTAAAGATGAGGGGGCTGAGTCTCAGAGAGGGAAAGCGACTGGCCCAGCATCACACAGCCTCTGGGCAACGCCCAGCGCTGTGCCCCCGGCACACACTCAGTCCTCCATCAGACAAGCGCTCCTCCATCTGACCGTCCTACAGCCCAGGCCCAGGGCCCTCCCCACCAGGGGCCCTGCCCCCATCAGCCCTGTGGTCCGGGCCTGAGAGCCGCAGCCCTCTCACAGAGGGGCGTGCCCTGGTTCCGAAGCCTCCTTTACAAAGGAGAGAGACGCCAACAGCTTCCTGGCAGGTGTGGAATTGGGGTGGCTGGGACCTTGTCTTTACTGGATTACAGAGAAGTTTCCATTCCTGCCCCTCCCTCCGGTCCTGATTGGTTCTGGGGAAACACAGGCTTTGCTCTTTCGGGGGGGGGCACGGGGGGGGTCCTGCTATAACAGAGACTGGGCTCTGGCTGGGCTCAGCCCCGCACAGGTACTCGCCCAGGAGCGCCCGCCCAGGCGCCCGGCAGGGCAGGGGCCGCGCAAGGCCCAGGAGGCGGAGATGGCCCAGACGCTCCACAAGTCCAGTGGCACCCAAAGGCCGCGGGACCCCAGGAGGGGAGAGGGGGCCCCCAGCCCCATGCCCCCAGACCCCGTGAGGGTGGGCGAGGCCCGGGCAGGGGCGGACACCGTGCTGCGCCGCCTCCTGAGGCTGCACCGCACGGAGATCGCCATGGCGGTGGACAGCGCCTTCCCGCTGCTGCATGCGCTGGCCGACCACGACGTGGTGCCCGAGGACAAGTTCCAGGTGGGCCCCAACCCAGGCCCCCAGTGCCCCCCAGCCTTCCCCAAGCTCTGCCGTCCAGCCAGGGGCAATGTCTGGGAGGATGAGCTCCAGATGGGCCCTAGCCGCCCCCCACGAGTGGGGGCCAGGGGGCTGGGGTGGGGGCTGCTGGTGTGAAGAGGGGATGGGGCCCGGTCTCCAGGACATGTTCCTGTCCTACCCAACACCCCTCCCAGCCCTCCTGAAGCTGCCCTCCAAGCCAGGGGTGTGGTCCCCTAAGGTGAGTTCCGGGGGGGCCTCCCTCGCCCCCAGCACCCCGGGCACCCCCACGCCCACCTCAACCCAAGGGCATGGACACGGTGCCCGGCTCTCCTGCAGCACCCTCTGGGGGCGGTGGCAGGAAGTGGGGGTACTGGGGAGGCAGGAGGCAGGGCCTCCCACTCCCCACTCCTGCTTCAGGAGACTCTGCGTCTGAAGGAGAAGGAAGGCTGCCCGCAGGCCTTCCACGCGCTCCTCTCGTGGCTCCTGACCCAAGACGCGGCTGCCATCCTGGGCTTCTGGAAAGTTCTCTTTAAGGACTACAACCTGGAGAGATACGCCCGGCTGCAGCCCATCCTAGACAGCTTCCCCAAAGGTGGGGAGGGCACTGCGGTGGCGGAGGGCTGGGGGCTGGGGTCCCGTGGGGCTCAGCAACCCCCCCCACCGCTGGGGGCCTGGGGCTGCTGGAGTCAGCCCAGCTGGACGGAAGAGGGAAGGTCAGGGCGTGGTTAGGGGGCCCCTGGACATCACCCAGGACCGTCCTGGCTTCTGCATGCCAAAGGGCCGAGGTCTCGCCCACCTTGCCAAGGTGTGGGTTCTGCTCTTGAGGCTCGGCCGCCGCTTGCACCCTGCAGATGTGGACCTCAGCCAGCCCCGGAAGGGGAGGAAGCCCCCGCCGGGCCCCAAGGCCCCAGTGCCGCTGCCCAGACCCCCCACCAAGAGGAAGGCCCTGGAGGAGCCAAGAGCCACCCCGCCGGCGGCACTGTCTCCACGGGGCACCTCCAGCCCAGGTACCTAGTTTGAGGAGCTAGTCAGCCACAGATTGCCCTGGGGAGCCCGACAGCCCCTGAGCACACCCTCCCCCCGACCACGGGCTCTGGAGCACCAGCCGCCTGGCCCGGAGCCAGCCTGGCAGGGGCTGTGGAGGTCCCCTCTGGATGCTCGGATGGATGAGCCTAGCCGTCCCTTGTCCCAGGGCCCCAGGAAGCAGGCAGGTGGGTGTTACGTCCTTTTACGGGTGTGGACACCAGAGCACGGTAAAGCGAGAGGACCCCGGGGGCCTTGGGGAGGCCACAGCCAGGGTTCTCCTGCCCCCACCCTTGGCCGCTGGCTTTGGCCCCAGCGCGGAGACCAGGGCCAGGCTGGCGCGCTCCCCCTGCAGGCCCCGAAGCGAAGGCCAAGCCGGCCCAGAAGGCCTCCTGCCGGGAACGGTGAGCCAGGCCCCCAGGCCTCCCGCTCCTGGGCCGGGGTCAAGGGATCAAGGGCCTCGGCGGGGTGCTGCCCTCCAAGGGCCTGTCCTGGGGGCGGGACCACGCTGGCCTGGTGTCTCCCCCCAAAGCCTCGGCTGGACGGACGCACTGGGGGCCAGGGGGGCGTCTCGGTCACCCCCACGTGTGCCCGGTCCACGTCCCCGTCCTACAGGCCTGGCTCAGACTGTGCTTCTGCCAGAGTCCTGCTCGGTCCGTCAGCTGGATGACGCCGGGCCCCCGTCCGTCCCCTCCTTGCCCCAGCCCGGGGGGCCCCAGAGGACCTGTGGTTGCCTGACCTTTGGGCGGCAGCCCCGAGCTCTGCCTCCTTCCCAGCACAGCCCCGGGCCGGGGCCGGGGGCCCTGTTCATCCCTGCCCGCCGTGTGCAGTGAGCTCCCACGCCGCATCCGCACGCACACACCACGCACACACACCACAC